TGGGTCCGGGGCCGAGGCTGCCCCGGGACCCCCTGCTGGACCCCGGCTCCCTGCCGTTTTCCCCAGGACTCTTGTCCTTGTTCTCGGCCAGAGTTAAGTCTGTTCTCGGCCAGGCAGATGTCAGTCGAATGGCAGAGAGAACCGGTAGCACCTCCCTGCTCCCACCCTGCGGGCTCCAGGGCTGGAGGGGGCCCAGCATAGGCCAGAGCACAGTGTGCGCCTTACTCCGCCTGACTGGAGGCGTGGGATTGATGAGGGGTAAGGACGGGCCTCACTTGGCCTCTGGAGGGGTTCAGGGTGGATGATGAGGGGAGCACCCGCAGTACAGCTGAAAGGAGGTGCCACCCCAACATCAGGAGTGGGGCCTCAGAACCAACACACACACACACACACACACACAGATGCGGACAGAAACACGAAAGACAGATGGACCCAGAGACATGGAGAGACTCAGAGGTACCACACACGCCTGCCCTCTCAGCCCTTCTCTGTCCTTGGACAAGGCCCGCCTGTGCCACCCCCCCCAACCTCTCCACCTCTCCCCAAGGGTGTCAGGTGGACTTGTGGGGCCACACCCCAAAGGGGAATCCCAGGCCTCCACCCTGGGGTTTATTTTGGGGGATGTAGGGGTGGAGACCAGCTATGAGAAGGTTCCTTCAGTACTGGGCTGTTAGAGCCTAGGGCACCTCTTGAACCCAAATTTGGCTGCCCCAGGCGTCCATCTGGCGCCACCATGGCCATGAGCCTGGTTCCAGGGACGGGTCACAGCGTGTGCCCCAGGGCCAGCCTAGGGGACAGCTGCAGGGCCTGTAATGAGGGGTGATGAGAGCTTCCCCTTGGGACATTGGGGGCTGCCTGCTACCTGAGTGCACTTTGGGTGGGAGGAGCCCTGAGCAGGGGATGTAGAAGCTGACAGTTCACAGTTCAGTGAAAAAGAATGTGATGTCAGGGAAACAGAGCGGGGGAGGGGTATGGAGAGGGGCCGGTGGGTGCACTCTGGACAGGAAGGAACTCTTAGAGGAGGTCACCTTTGAGATGAAGCCTGAAGGAGATGGAGGCATGGAGGGATTGAGTGAGAGTGCACCAGGCAGGGGCACAGCCAGTGCAAAGGCCCTGGGGCTGGAATGGCCCAGAGGGTGCAGGCATTATTGGAGAGGGAGGTGATGAGGGTGCTGGGGAGGCCAGGAGCCGCTCTTCAACCTGCCTTGCATTTGGGAAGGTGCCTGGAGGAAACAGGGCCCAGAGAGGGAAGCCGCCTGCCCAACCCTGAAGCCCAGCCAGGCCTCCCTGCCCCCTCTGGCGGCTTGAGAAACCTGAGGCTGGTGGGGCACAGTGCCAGGGGTGGGCAGGGGAGGGGCTGCCAGGCCTGCCGGCTCCAGGCAGCTGCCAGCCCGCCCCAGCCACCGGCCCAGCTGGTGCCCATTTGCTGACGCTGCCATGGGCCAGCCTCTTGCTCCCGCCTTGTGCGGTGCCAACCTCCCTGAATGGCGCTGTGGGCAGGGGCCAGCTTGGGAAGCTCTCAGTGGAGAGGGACTGCCCAGGGTGCCCCAAGGAGGAGACAGGAAAAACTGGGGGGATCCCCAACTCCTCCTGGATGGAACCAGGAAGCAGTAATAACAACAAAGTTAATAGGAACTGTGAGCACATATTGAGTGCCACTGTGTGCCCAGTTCTGGGCCCATTCCACTCTCAACTGGTTTAATTCTCTCCCCATGCCTAGGAGCGAGGGAACTTCTCCCTTTTCCCATAAGGAAACAGAGATCCAGAGATGGTCAGACACTTGCCCAGAGTCACACAGCTTGTAAGAGGCAGAGCAGAATTAGAACCCATGGATTTTGAGTCCTCAAAACCCCTAAAAGAAAAAAAGTAAAAAACACTTTTGAGATTATCAGGTGGGACCCACACCCTCCCAGTGGTACAGATGATAAAAAGGGCAGGCCCTGAGTACCTAGTGAAAAAAGGAGCCATATTATTAAGTACCTGTTGCCCTGGCCATTTGGCCCAGTGGATAGAGTGTCAGCCTGCAGGCTGAAGGGTCCCCGGTTTGATTCCGGTCAAGGGCACGTACCTTGGTTACAGGCCTTGATTGCCTGCTTGATCCTGGGCCCTGGTGTGGGCATGTGCGGAAGGCAACCGATTGATGTGTCTCTCTCATATTGATGCCTCTCTGTGTGTGTGTGTGTGTGTGTGTGTGTGTGTGTCTGTCTCCCTTCCACTCTCTCTAAAAATCAATGGGAAAATATCCTTGGGTGAGCCCACAATTAACAACAACAAAAGTTCCTGCTGTGCCCAAACCTGGGTGCCAAGGTCTCCATAAAGGGCATTGTGGGCTGGAGTGAGGGGACCTCACTCCGCCACAGCTCTGCCCCTGGCTTGTTGTGTGACTT